GAGATCTACAACGGAGAGAATGCTCAGGACCAGTTTGAGTACGAGCTGGAGCAGGCCCTGGAAGCGCAGTACAAATACATAGTGATAGAGCCCACTCGCATTGGGGACGAGACAGCCCGCTGGATCACTGTGGGGAACTGCCTGCACAAGACCGCCGTGTTAGCGGGCACCACCTGTCTCTTCACCCCTCTGGCACTTCCAGTAGATTATTCTCACTACATCTCCCTGCCTGCTGGTGTGCTGAGCGTGGCTTGCTGCACCCTGTATGGTATCTCTTGGCAATTTGATCCCTGTTGCAAGTACCAAGTCGAGTACGATGCCTATAAACTTTCCCGCCTGCCCCTGCATACGCTCACCTCCTCCACTCCAGTGGTGCTGGTGAGGAAGGACGACCTGCACAGAAAGAGACTGCACAACACGATAGCACTCGCTGCCCTGGTGTACTGTGTAAAGAAGATCTACGAACTCTATGCCGTATGACTTCAGCAGGGAAGAGAGAAACCCACAAAGACAAGTGTATTAAGACTCCCGCAGTAACGTTTTGTTTTTCCTCTTTTGAGAAGCAGTGGAGACTGGGAAGGATTTGGTTTAATAGAGCTGTTATTTTTAAAATAACACATCACTGGTGCACCAAGGTTTTTCAGTTCTTCGTTACACTTAAGGTGTGGATGTGTGGTGACTTGAGAGCTGTATGTTAGGCCATGGGAGTCCAATCCAGCAGCGGAATGTCGGTGAAAGCAAGCTATAGGAAGAGGGGGGTGTGAGAGCTGCTTTTTTTTTTTTTTTTTTGAAACATTTAAGTATATTGTTTAATTGTATTACACAGAACCAGCCAGAAGTTATCATTGACCATTAAAGGATGAGAATTTCAAATGCTTTTGCTCTCTTGTTGCTGTTATCATAGTTCCCTTTTATAGCGTGCTTCCAGGGAAAGGAGGCTTTGCCATGAGATCTCCCGTGGTGGTGGTGATTTCTGCACGCTCACACACAGACCCGATATTCCTCTTGTCCCTTGCACGTGGCAGCAGCGTCCGTGTTGCTCCACAGCAGCCATCTGTTGAAGGAATAGCCGTAGCGTTGCTTTCCCTCTTGCTTGACTAGTTGCGTTTCTCGGGTCTTACGTGTTACCCCGGTGTTTACATCTGCGTGGTCATCGCTTAAACATTGATGGTTGGGGTTGAAGGTGTCCAAATCCTCCGTGCCCTGCCACCTCCATCCGTTACTCCTCTGCACCAGGGAGATAACGCTGGCAGTTTCCAGCTACAAAGCGCGCTCGGTTCCTGTACCAGTTCTTTCCAACGTGGACGCATCTCCGCTGAAGCGCGTTGCACCACGTGCTGCCGAGGGGGGATCCAGCTGGCTCGCCTTTGTGCTTTGGTACTGCCGCTGGTTCCCGGGCCCTGGCGACGCAATCCCACCGCTCTTGTGCGGAACACGGGCTTCTGGAGCCGCCTGCTGCTGCTGCTGTGAGGTGTCCACGTGATTGTACCCTCTCGTAACTGTTACCTGCAACTTTAGAATTCGGCGTTGTGTGTTAATTCATCGTTTAGCTCAAAACTGTCAAAATCTTAGAAGGGGAAGTGTTTACTGTTTTGCAAGATCTGCCAGTTACTTTTAAAAGACAGGGGCTTGCGTTCTGTAATCTCCTCCTACCAGATGGAAAATAGGTGTGGTGTGCGTTTACAAGGCCAGCTTGGCACAGCTTCAGGGGTTAGGATCTGCCGACAAGAGCGAAGCCCTGCAATAAAAACGGCCAGCACGCAGGTGTACTGCTCGCTGCGGGGGTGGCTGCAGCCTGACCTCGGCAGCTGAAGCCCTGACCTTGGAAGGCAGTCCGTGAGGTCGGAACCCCGATTCAGTAGTTCTATCTTTATCTTTCCAAATCTGCGACAGCAGGCACCGAGAACAACTCCTCGCCTCCAGGCTGCAGCAGGCTTTTCTGGCCACGGCTCCAACGAGTGGCTTTTCTTCTGATGCAGCTTTTGTGCGAGCAGGGCGCGCGTCCCAGGCGTGTGCGCGGTGGGCGAACGGGGTTTGCCGGGAGCTCTGAGCGAGTAACTTTTACCACCTGCCCAGGCAGCTGCAGCCGAGCGGGCACGTGGGCTGGAGGGTGCTCTGGTGGCATCGAGACATTTGGAGGTGGCAACAGCCCTTTGCCGGTACAGCGTCTCCCTCCAAGGTTAAAAGAAGCCGGGATCGGAGCGTCTCTATTTATAGCAACAATGTACAGTTAGTGGCGCTGGCAGAGAGGAGGGGAAGAAATGCAGCTCCTTCATCTTTCTGCGGTCAGGCCAAGACCGCCGGGCAGGCTGCCTTTCGAGTCCTGACGTTTGTTTCTCGAGTCCCGTCTACTGGATGAATTTGAAACTAGTGGCAGATCTGCCGTAGCTAATCTGTACTTTGTTGTTGCAGAAGGCCCTGGAATATCCTTGTGCTGCCCACACACAAGACGCTCCTGCTCTTTTTTTTAATCCAGAATAATTGTCAGGGCTATTAGTTCCTTTTCTTCACCAAACCTCTGCGGTCCTCTGCTTTTTTTTGTGTTAAGCTTTCCCTTGCCTGGAATGGTCACTAAGGCAGAAGGACTAACCCTGGGTAGGCTCCCTGAACATGTGGCTTGCATCGAAGGCTGGAGTTAAAAATGAGCAAGTTTCCTGTCGTCTCTTACTGCCAGAGGAAAGGTGAAAAGTCAGGTTGGTTGTCACAACAGGTAGGTTTAAAAACACACCCTTCGCTCTGTTCTGAGGTGGAGAGGACACAGGTGGGGGGGTAGGGGGGCTTGTTTTCCAAGAAATATTCGTGATGATCTAGCTGAAATGCTTGGGGACATCCTGGTTGTTAGTCAGTCAGTGCTGTAACTAGGCAAGGTGACCTGGCAGAAGGAGAGGGGTCTTGAGGGTCGCGTGTTTCGGTGCGCTGCACGAGGTGGTTGCTGTACCTGCCTTCCCCCCGTGCCAGCAGCTGTGGGTAACAGTCGCTGGGGACACGCTTCCCTTTCAAAAGCCCCACAGGCTTTGCTGCCCATCCTGACCCTGATGGAGGTGCTCTGAAATGGAGTGAGGCCCGTTCCTCTGTCAGAGAGGGAATTTACTTTCCAAGGGGAATGTGCACGCTCTCGGTAACCTCTGACTTGGAGCCGTAGTTCAAACAGTAACCACAGTAACTCCCCCCACGTAATTCTTTTTTGTTTCCTCAGACCTGATGCGTTGCCCCCCTCAGCACCCTGGATGATAACAACAGAAATCAAAACGGCCCCTCGGTCCGTCCTGGGTGGCCATGACCAGAAGACGGGAGCAGCTGGACAGGACTGGCAGGAGCACTGTGCTTTGCCAAGGAACGGAGGACCTGGACAAGCAAAACACGAAAGGAAAAGCACCACCGCCACTTACAGAAACTCCTCTTGTGGAGAGGGAGAGAAGGTAATGCCTTGGTTTCCCACCATCACAAGAAAAAAGGATACGTACGTCTGAAAGCTTCAACTTGTGATTTCAGCCCTAGGCCTCTGTGTAACCAAGCTGCAACCTCAGCCCCAGTGAAAATGGCAGAGGCTGTCTGAACTGAGCAGCAGCACCGTGATCATCGACCCCATCCTGGTCGTCATCTGGGATGGATTCTCAGAAATCACTTATAAATCTGTAGTGGTCGAGAAAAGGCTTTTTGAAGGAGAAGGTCCTGCTGAGCCTGCACTCCTGGGTCAGAGTTTTAGTGTGACTGTTGCGGTGGGGAGTCGCGCTATGTCCGCTGTAAGCTAGCGAAGGACGTGGAGAGGGCTGGGAGGAAGCGTGCTCTGCAACTGCTGCTGGTGCAACAGCACCTCGCAGGAATGGAAGCAAAGAAAAACAAACCCCTCCTGCTTTCCCTTCCTCTAATGTTACCTCTGTGAGGAGCTGAAGTAGAAAAGGATTCATTTCATAGCAATGTAATTTATTTGTCATCAGATGTGCACTCACAGGCAGGACAGGCAAGGCAGTACACGTGGAAAATGCTGGGAGGTGGGTGGAGGCGGCAGCAGGGGACTGGACCTTGGTTCCTACTGGTAGGCTTTATTTCAATGTTAAGTTTAAAAACGATTATTTCTGTCCTTACTGAAGCAGCTCTGTGCAGCCACTCCTTTTTCCTAGAGGTGCTGATATCCCTCGTGAGGAGAAGGGGTGAACAGCAGAACATGGCACTCCCCCAGGCTGTCAGACTCCCTGAAGCCTGTGATACGTGAGCAGGTATTGTTCCCCCGCTGGATGTGATCCTAATTAGCATCTGTGATTGCTTTAAAACAGATGAGAACTAAGGGGCTGCCTCCTATGCTGTCCACCCTGCACACCCAGACTCTGCTTGCCAGGAGACTCTGCCTGGCACCTACAGAATCGCACCTACTCGTGCTCTAGGCCTGAGGTGGACGAGGCGCCTAGAAGTGCACCTCGCTGGGCTGTTCAGGGCTTCCCCTGCCTTAACTTGTGCTGGGGTTGTCGGGGAGTGCAGAGTTCCGTGTCCCTGTACACCAGTAAGGCATGGTTCAGATAAAATAACTGCCAAATGAAACTTCAATTTTACATCAGTTACTTCTTTAAAAGTGGCACTGGGCTTTAGCTTAACCCATCAGCCGATTTGGCGTGTGAACAGAGGCCCCGTGAAGCTTCTCACTTCAAGCAACGTGTTCTAGATCAGACTGGAAGGAGTGGGAAGGAGACACAGATCACCAGAGCTGCATTTCCCAGGGGCCATGGGGTGAGGAAGGCCAAGATCTGCTTGTGTGAAGGCAAAACAGGCGGGGTTTATTTGTCAGAGGCCGGTAAAGCTGAGCATGCCTGGAGTGAGGTGAGGTCCTCCAGCACACGGGCCTCCCCTGCTGCCAAGGGTGTTCCCTGGAGTTACCCTCCCCCACAGCCTCAGCTCCTCCCCTTTGTCCAAGCACCCTTCTTCAGGGTTTAGGTGCTGTCCTCCGGCGAGTGGGCCTGCCCTGATGGGGGGGAAACCGCTTCCTGCTCTCCATGCAATGGTAAACTGCAGCATTTTGAGGTTTTTCCTGCAGGAGCACCTCCACTGATGCCCCAGCCAAACTGCAGGGGGTTTGCCTCTCCCTACAGTTCCTGCTCGATGAGCTGAGCTCTAAGAGTCCTTTTCTTTTCTCTCCTTTTTTGCTCTAGTTGCCATTAAGGTGAAGAAGAGCCTGGGGCAAAGGTTTCGCAGGTAGACAGCCAGGGAGGGTGTTAGGCCAGCTACAAGTACCTCCTTCTTCTTCTGCCCCACTGCACTGAGAACCACCTGAGCGACCTCTGCGGCTGTCTGTCCCTCGGCGGTGTTCTTGTCCATAACTGCCAAAGGAAAGCCGAGTGAGCACCGACGCCAGCAGGTAAGCCCCCACTTAGGTACCCCTCCTAGGAACGCCTGGTCTAACTGTGGCTGCTCGTACGGTTTTGGTTTTTACACCAGTTATGTGTGGGAGCACGGGCAGGTATAATTCATGGTTGGGCTAGAAGTCTGTAGTTGCTGTCTAAGAAGGCGAAATTTTGGGGGTTACTGCCCCTACCTGCATCCAAAGTTGTCTTTTGATACCTCAGGGCTAACCCGTGTCCCCACCAGAGGCCGTATGTTGCAAGCACACTTTGGAGTAACTCGGTCAGGCGGAGATACTTGAGATACAGGGTGCAAAGTCCTATCTCACCTCCATAGCGAGATCCATCTGCTGTCACAGCGTTGAGAGAGAGGTTTGTCTGAATGTATCCGGGGCTCACAACCGTCACATCGATGTCATACTGCTCCACCTCTGCTCGCAGACAATCGAAGAAGGCCTGGGTAGCGTGCTTAGAGGCAGCATCTGAAAAACAGGGAAAGGACTATGCACGAAGGAGAAGGAGCAGGGCCGAAGGAGGAGTCACGCCCCTGAATGGGGTTTTCACTGCAGCGCAGCCACTCCTCAGCAAGAACCCAGTAGCTGTTCTCCGACTTCTAGGTTTGAGGTTTTTTAGGGAATGGCAGCAACAGGTAGTGGGAGTGAGAGGCAATTTAGGAAGGCAAACCGTCAACACTCAAGGTGGAAACTGGCTGAGATCCTGAGCTTAACATCACCGCCACGCCAAAGCACTATGGAGCGAACCCGAGCTGCCTCCCGCTCGGGACAAAGGAGACGCGCAGCCTGGCTTGGGAAGCGTTTGGTAAGACAGGCTGGGGCTGGGGGAGCGCGATGCCAGTGCAGGGGGGCAGAGCTGCTGCTGCCGAGCGCCCCGCTGCGCTGAGCGTTACGGACCTGCAGGGCGGGCTCAGAGCCCGGCTGCACCCAAGCCAACACCTGATCACACGAGCACACAGGGGTAGAGACGTGTGGCCTAGGGCAGGATCGCCCCTGTTCAAGAGCCGAGCGGCTCCTGCTCGCTCCCTTTCCAAGTGCACTTGGTCACCGCCACCACGGCTGCTGTCACCACAGCACAGAGCTCAGCACAGGCCACAGACCCCGTCTGAGGACCTGGGCAAGAGCTGAGCTCCACGCTGCCAGCCCTCACGGCTCTGCTCTTCAGAACACCCTTGTTGGTGCAGTCGTACCCACATCTGCAAGATCAGGTAGCCCAGATGTTCCTGGCTCCTTCACTCAGCATCATGCCCTACCGCTCTCGGGCCATCACCACTGTACTTTCCCATTTTTATGTTTGTTTTCAGTGATTTACAGATGCCTCTATGGCAAACGCTCTCCTTTTAGTCCCTCCATCTTCTATAAAGCTTTTTCCAGTAATCTCACCAATACTCTTGTCATAACTCATTTAGCCTGAAGAGTTTGCTGGATCAAGAGAATTGTTTAGGCTTTTATTTTGGCATTGGTTGTACTATGGCACTTCATAACTTACTAAACCAAAAAGTTCCTATTTTCTTAGAGATTAACCAGGCAAACAGCAAGGATAAAGCGCAAGAAAATTATGGAATGAATCAGAAAGTTAATAGGGACTTTCAAGTGTGAAGATAGGAATATCCAGCTGTTTTCAAGACACTGGAAACACACTCTCCTTCCCCATCCCTTAACAACTTCAGGACAGGGCTATGATTTTGCATTTGAGAGCGCCTTCCTCAGCAGCTGTCAGCGCTTTGTGACCACGCTGAGAACGAGGCACAGCTCTGCCCTCCCTGCCTGCCGCCAGCTCTACGGAGAGCTCCCCACGGAAGCGGTAGCCAAGCGTTCATTCAGTGTGGTGCCCCAAATATGTCTTCCCCGGCGGTACTTACACGCAGATCTGAAAGGAATGCTTATTTTGCCTTGAACACTGCTGATGGCCACAATGTGGCCTTGTCTCCTCTTGATCATGGAGGGTAGAAGTGCTAGCAAAAGACAGAAAAGACCCATTCAGATGAAGAATCCTGCCATCACTGCTGTCAAGAATCAGGGCTTTCAGAGCATTCAGAGGTGCCCAAGCGAATTACTAGATTCAGTGAAGGGGTTGGGCGAGGGAGAGTGCTTAGGATGCCTCTGACTGAAGCTCCAGGCTGGCTGGAACATCCACCTACGGGGAGACTCCTCGTGCCAGCGAGGCTGCCCAAAAGCTGGTACAGTGGCTATGAGCTCCCACGGGCATGGTCAGCAGGACCTGCTTTTTTTTTCTGTCACCCGTGCATCTTCCCATTTCCTGCAGCTGACACCCTCCAGGCTGAACTTTCTGGGTAACCCAAAGAGGCTTCCTAGGACAGCTACAGCTTCACCTAGAGCCCATCCTGTGTCCTTGAGCGCTTTATCAGAGCAGACAGGCTAACCACATCGCTCTTCATCAGTTCCTGCCAGCCTAGAGTCAGGATGTGTTTTGAACAAGATGGCATCTCTAATCAGGTACTTCCCATGCAGTCGTGCCCAAGCATCTCCCGTAGGCCTGCCCAGGAAACAAAACCTTCCTCCCCTCTCATGCTGTACCGTGCCAAACGCGTTACAAACAGAGGTTAAGCTGTGCTTGGTTGTGTTGGCCTGCAGAAGCTATCGGCCAAATCCCTTGTCCCCCTGTAATGTGGATCACGGGTACCTTTGGTGAGGGCTATAGGACCGAAATAATTTGTTTCCATCACTTTCTTATCCACATCCAGTCCTGTGTCCACAATTGTGCCTCGGTAACTGATGCCTGCGTTGTTGATCAGTATGTCCACGTGGCCCAAGTACTTCAGGATCTCTTCAGCAGCATTAAGGACAGCTTTAGTGTCCGAGAGGTCAAATACCACAGTGTGAGGTTTGTGTGTCTGTGAACAAACACAAGTTAGCAAAAGGCCAGTTCGGGCCGTGCTCAATGTGCTGTATGTTCACACTCATGATGGGATGTCCCAGCTCTGGAAGCACAGGCAGAGCCCTCCAAACCTCCTGCCTTTGCAGCGCAGCAGTGCCATGCGGTGGGAAGACATGACAGAGGCAGGTTGTGCTCTTGTCTTTCTCTGCTCCGGTAGCCTGTTCCTTATCCCAGAGCCTAGGAAAGGGGCAAGGCAGCTCTTCCTCAAGTACTAAAGTTTCCTACTGTCTTATTAATGAAAAAGCATCTGAAGAAGTCAAAAGCTTAACCGATGTGTCTTCTACAGAAGCCAGCAATGCCTTTCTTAGCCACTGTCAGCAGAACTAGACACCAAAAATAAAAGCCACTTTTAGGAAGGAAAGTCACTTTTCCAGATTCAGTTTGTGACAAGATGCAAGGGGTCTGGGCACTCTGCACTCGCATGCTTTCACTTCCATTACAAGGCAAGGAGTCTTTCAGGGGCGTTATTTTCGTAGGGTTTTTACAAGGTGTGACACGTTAGCTCCGTGTACTCCTACAGCAGTATCTATCCCTAACCACAGAGTTGCATTTTTCCTATGGCTCAACAGAACAACCCACGAGCAATTTCAGTGAACAGAAATCCCAGCCACGCGAGACAACAAGCCTCTCCTTCTCCCACACTTACGTTCTTTCGGTGATTGGTGACGGTAGAAAGCTGCTCCGCCAGATCTTTGAGTTTCTCGCTGTCTCTGCCACAGAGCACCAGCTTGCAGCCAGCTGCGTGGAAGGCTTTTGCACATTCTTTGGAGGAAGCACGGAAGAGAGAAAAGCAGACATTTGAATGACGGAGACTGGTGATATGCTACAACTTCTTTGGGCTGGCAAGGGCCTGAGGTGGCTTTATGATCCCGAGTGATGGGCTGATTTACAGCGAAGTCGCAGCAAGATGCCATTTTCCTGCGACTTTGACAGAGACGTGACAGCGGTGAGGCAGCTGGTGTGCTCAGTTACTGTGCTGGTTATGCAGTTATTGTGCTGTTTACGCATCCTCCCCCGTCAGCTGGTCGAATTTGCCTCTGCCCCTCAGTTTTGGACTATATGCTCTTCTTAAGAGGGGCTACGGTTACCCTGTGTACATCATCTAATGCAGCGGGGCCTGGTCTGAGGAGTTTCAGTTTTAGTGAACGCTTCCAAGGGTTTTGGAAGCCTTGGAGCTAATGGCTTCATCAGGAAAAGGCTGAAGAAGGGATGCCATGCTGTTGTCTCCCTGTCTGTGCTACCAGCTGCTGAGGGAATTGCTGCTTCTTCTACCCTGTCCCTCTGTGACCCGGTGAGACAAACACTCATTTGTGCAGGAGATGACAGTGGATGGTTACAAAGGGTGTTTAAGAACACGCAGCAATTAGAGGTGCTCTTGGGTAATAGTAACTGGGAGTGAGGGGAATGGTCTGAGACCTTGGCAATGAGTCAATCAGGGAAACTTCACTGTACCGTGGTGCAGACAGAGACACCCAACAACACGCAGCGCGTCATCTGCCTGTCACGGCTGGAGGGTCTCTCCTGAGATACCAGTTCTGTCTCCTCTTGATGTGAAATACAAATTCTTTGGTTGTGACAGGCAGAGAGGACCATTTAATCTCCTTTGGCCACTGGGTTACTGAACACCCCGTCCTTAAGGACAAACTCACATGCAAAGACAGCATCAATTTAAGCGTTATTTGTTCTACAACTGCACTCATCCTAATGAAGGGCCTCGATAGCAGAGAGCACTTTGCCTTCTCTTCAAGAAGCTTTTAAAGCAATTATAGAAAGCAGAATTAGAGAATGTATCCACTCAAACAAAGAATAAATTTGATTTGGAAAAAAAAAAACCACCATGTTTTTAATTAGAAAAAAAGACTCACTGGTGTTAATACTGCCAGGGGTTTCAATTGAGAATGGATGGATTTGTGCCACAAGAGAAAAGGTAACTTAATTTGAGGGTGAGGGGCAGGGAGAAGGAGCAGAAAGTATGGCAGAGTATCTGGAAATAAAACAAACGTGAATGCAGAACACCAGTTCAAGGAAGTTGTAGAGAAACAATTTGATTTCCTGGCTTTTTCAGGATTTAGAGACAAGACCCCTGACAGCACAAGAACGGCATAACTTGTTCCTTGCTTTGATGAGCTCCAGCTTATACAGGATGATTACAATTTTCCTTAACAAATTCTGAGACTTCCTTGCACCCAAACTTGCACTGGCTGTAGTAATACCCGATAGGACTGTGCAAATTACGTCTCTCAAAATTCAGAGCAACGGGAACGTTCTGCTCATCACTGCTGCCCCTTCCACAACCTGCTGCTTGTCCTGCCTTTGGTGCCCTCCCTTCAGCACCCACCTTTGCCCAGGCCGGAGGAAGCCCCTGTGATCACGACCACTGCTTCCTGGAGGTAGGCTCGCATCCGCATCCACTGCAGTAGCCGAAAAAGGGCGAAGATCCCCAAGCTGCCAAAAAGCAGCGGGATGATGACCGTGCTTGTGAAATCCATGAGTTTTCCTTTCTGAATGGTCTTCCTAGAGCCACGAGATGAAAGGAAACAGACCATCAAGAAAAGAAGCAGAGGCTTAAAAACTAGGGAAGTCCTTTTTCCTAACCCTGCCTTAGACCACCAATAAACCGAATCCCATACAGAGGTATCTTCAACAGATTTGCTTATCCCTTCATTTAGACTTTCAAAAGTTTACAGCAGTACCCAATTTTAAGCATTTAACTGCTAATGTGAACATCCCAGCAGGACATCTGGCGTTGGAGGTTGTCAGCTGTCACGTAACAAACGGGTTCAGAGATGCTGTTCCCACACTTTGCCCTAGATTTGCTCACTTGTACAAAGTGTATTTCGATTGGGAGCTCCTCAGGGCTGGGATATGTCTCTGCATTCTTCTGATTGTAATAAAACCTCTTAGATTTCTCTAGAACAGCCAGTACCACAGTATCTATGTGCCAGAGACCAGTTACTGTGTATTATCCCAGAGGGATATAAGCCAGTCTGTCTTCTGGAGGCTCAGAGTAAGTTTTCTTTCTGAGTACTCTCTTTGCTTGATGCAGTGAAATCTGTGCTTCCAGCTCCAGTGTCTTTCACCACCTGTTAGCAGAGACAAGTTATCTGATTTAAATGAACCACCTGTCCAATCTAGTGGGCTAAAGCCTCCATCCACACTCTTCACTTTTATGCCAGTGTTAATTGTGCAGTTTAGCAGCATGAACCTGTGTTCTAATATACTGAAATTAAACCTGTGAATGAAACCCAAGCTAAAGGTATCTACGAGACCTAGCTCATCCTGGAATTGGATTCTGATACCAACACATAGCCCTACTCTCCTTGCTAAGCCACTGCCTTCAAGGGAGTAGTTTCTGTTACAACTTACTACATGGCCAAAGTGTAAGTGATACTTCTGCTGTAAAAAAGGTCACTAATTTTCCCACTTATATACCCCCAAGCTTTTATGCTTGGTGTCACAGTACAGTCACTTACAACCCCTTCCCAGAACCTATCTAACTTTTGAGTCACACATAAAGTCAAACCCAAATATTAGTAAATCTTCCCTGTTCTGCAGGTAGAGTTTGAACTCTTGCAGTTTGACCCGCAAGATAGGTCTTTACCAGGAAGATACTAGAAAGGTCTGGGCCCACAACTCATACTCTACTTCAGACAAAAGGACAGCATGAGAAGCAGAAAACAAGAGGTAACTGATAATGCTAAGCCAGAACTCAGTGTCATTAATTAGGACTGAACTTGTGTGGAGCTGAAGGAATGACAGAGGCTCTCCATGCCATAGAACAGAGCTCATGTGGAAAATGCCAGGCTCTTCCTGATTTCCATGGAGGGCTTGGACAGAATTCCTCAAATAGCTGGTCAGTGAACAGACTAGCTTGCTGAACCCATAGTGAACTGTATCAAGTAAGGATTTCTGGAGCTATAGCTAGAAGACAGTAAAGTAACACATAAAGATAGCTAAATAAGCTTGACAAGGTCTAAAAATAAACCCATCAAGTCAGTACAGCCTTCTCAAGGCACAACGGACCTTCCCATTCCTGAGCTAACTCATGTATCTACAGAGTACTTCACGGTGTAATACGCTGTGCGTAATGCAGGCTGACACCCAGGCCACAAGCTCCCCCAGGCACAGGGAATATGCCCAAAGTGGGAAGTCAGAAACCCAAGAGAAGGATTAAACTCATCCCGGTGCAAAGCAGTGCCCGAGCACAGCACCCAGCTGCTCGGACCAGCATCGTCTTATCACAGAATCACAAACTGGTTTGGGTTGGAAGGGACCTTGAAGACCATCTAGTGCCAACCCCCTGCCATGGGCAGGGCCACCTCCCACTAGAGCAGGTTCCTCCAAGCCCCATCCAGCCTGACCTTGAGCCCTGCCAGGGAGGGGGCAGCCACAGCTTCTCTGGGCAGCCTGTGCCAGGGCCTCACCGCCCTCATGGGGAAGAATTTGTTCCTAATACCTAATCTCAATCATCTCCCCTCTTTCAGTTTGAAACCATTACCCCCTCGTCCCATCACCACACTCCCCGATAAGGAGTCCCTCCCCATCTTTCCTGTAGGCTCCCTTTAAGTGCTGGAGGGCCGCTAGAAGGTCTCCCTTATTCCTCCACCTCTGTGCTGAGCGCACACCGAGGGTGTATTTTGTACTGATTTACCGGCAGACTGGATTGAAGAGTGCGTGTCGCCCCTAAAATAATTCTGGGAAAGAGCTGTTCAGACACAAGGCCACTGGCCTTCTTTAGGCTGGATGAGAAGAAGGTTCTCCTTACTGGTTCGTGTGCCGCTAGTCATTTAGAGCAGCTGCCCTCTTTATGTTGGCCCTTTTTTGTGCTCTTAAAGGTCTCTTGAGATTCAGAAAACAAGATGTGGGCAGGGACAACAGGTGCTGTGCTGACATCGAGCAGCGTGGCTTACAGGACATTTTGGAATCAAAAATCCTCAGCTCCCGTTTAGGACCCTTCATTATTTCCAAAGTGGGAGCTGACAGGCGGAGTGGCACTTCCTTTGCGAGCCCATGCTGAAGCTGAGGCATTTTAAAACTCTGGCCCTGACCAGCTTTGCTTCTGATTTCAGTAAAATGCAGATGATGGTGTAAAGCAGATGAAAAGGTAACTGGGAAGAGGGGGCTTTTCCGACACCTTTTCTAAATAAACGACTCTAGGAGATGGGAGGGAGTCCCATGTTGGGTTACAGCACGGTTCTTTCGCATTCTTTGGCAAAAATAAAGGTTGACTTTGCGAGGACTGAACTCTGTGCCACAGGGACTGGTGGAAAAGAGCCCCCGAGCCTACCAGCTAAAAGCTAACTGCGTTTTGGTCAGGTAGCATCCATTGCTCATCAATATGAACCAGTTACGCCTCCTTAACTTATTCCTTAATCATATCACTTATTTGTCTACTTTCTAAACGAAGAAGGTCTGCCTTTAATCCTTTTTCATTTGAAAAATCTTTCCTAGCCTTTTATGGTTTTTCTTGTTCTCCCTCACCTCCCCCTCAGCCACATTATATACAGGAACTGGGCAAAGGACCCAATCTCTGCCCTAAGGACGCAGCAACAACCCACTTTTGCAGCTTCCAGGCTAGAGTTTGAATGAACAGGTATTCCCCTCTTGATATATGGGGATGGGAGTCATGCCCACAGGATGGGAAGAGAAAGATGGATGAAGGAGGGGACCAAGAGAGAGCAGGACCAGCTGACCAGAGATGTAGATCCTTTTTTATGAGGGCCCACAGTTGCAGTACCTTCTTCCAAGGAAGGAACTCAAATGGCCCCTTAAAAAGAGCCCCAGAACAAAGAAAATCTCAGTCAGACTTGAGAAAGAGGACAACCCAGCTGAACTACATTATTTTGGAAAGAAGAAAGAATTTCTGTCGCGCTCTAGACCTACAGCAACAAGTTTTGCTTTGATTTCATAGATTAGCTTATACCACAACCCCCTGAGTCCTCATTTTAGTGAACAGGCTGAAAACAGTGATGGATGAAATAAATATCAGTGGATCAAGAGAAACTGGAAATCAGCTCAAGCCATCGAGCCACACTGCAGTATGTTCAACAATACCCATCTGGATGTTGTTGAACATACTGTGGGTCATCCACACGGAGCCCACTGCCAGGCTACTGACACAAGCAGGGTGGCAGTTACGTTCTGTTCGGTTTTCAGGGTTATCTGGTGGAAAGACCAAAGGAAAGAATTGCTGCAACCTGAAGGAGAAGTTCTAGTCTGTTCAGTATTAGGGTTATTTGCTGCAAAAGCCAGAGGAGAAAACTGCTGCAATCTGAAGGAGAATGAGAAAGATCGTAGATAAAAAAAGACTTGATTGCCATCAACGAAAACGCTAAGTTGCAAGACGAAGGCTAGGAGGAGAAGATAAAAAGCACAAAACCCAACTTAAAATAGATAACACTTTGAAGCAGCTAAAGACATCCCAGGGCAGATAATGCCACGCTACATTAAAAACATGGGGGAGGGGGGGGACACACATGGGTTTCCACACCTCATTCGAGATGAACTGGATATCCTCAGAGTTCTTGCTCGAAGGTCTGAGACCCCACTGTCACCTTTGTTCAAACATTTGGGTATTCATGCTGAAAAAACCTGTTATTAATTCTTGACAGATAATGTTTATGACACCAGGTGATCGGCAGGAGCCGCTGCGCAGATTTGGTTCGAATAAAGTCCTGAAATTCTCGGTTCTCCTTCCCAAAAGGCAGAATTGGAACATGCAGTTATTAGCGAGCAGAAATAACACCACCAATAAGGTAAGCAAATACAGGTGATGACCGGAAACTTTTTGAAAGGCTTACCATAAAATAAATCACATACATCCAGTTAAAAAAAACCCACAACTTTCCCCTTAAACCAAGCCCTGGATGTTATCCTGTAAAAGGCAGGACAATGATTTCCGAAGGAACAAGGCTCTTAGTTAATAAGGTCAAGAGTGCACTAAAGGCAAGTCCTAAAGGAAACTAAACCCCTGAGTTTCCCTAAACAACACCTATTCTCCTTTAGCTTCAGCCACCTAGAATCACATTGTCCTTTCCATGACAAATGGCAGCAACTGGGAGGCTATTTTCAGAAATCAAAAGGTGTCATTTAAAAGGTGGGGGGATAAAAGGAAGGAAAAAAAATCATTTCCTCCTAAGGAAGCCCTTGTCCAGAAGCACAGCGGCTCGAAGCTTGATTAGCGACCGACTTTAGTCTGAAGAAAGCACAATATCCTACCTTGGAAAAGAACTCACTTGCCAGTGACTCTGTGAGATGGTGTCTCCCTCTGGTCTTTTAACAGGACAGACCTGACTTAAATTTGGAAATGGCAGCAGTCCAAGCAAATGCACTGTGCCCAATGCTAGCACAGCCAAGGACTGCCTCTAAAAACAAACCTCGGGAATACGGGCCGTGACCTTTCCAATGTCGGGGTAACTTAACCCCCAGACTGAAAAGCCAGAGCTGAATTCAAAATGACACAAAACTTAGGACGACCCTCTGGTTATTTCTAGTATTGAACCCAGAGCATCCATAA